CGAAAAAAGTTTTGCTTAGTGACGTCAGTTTGTGGCAAAAAAATCATTTTTAGGTCGAGATTGCTTTTGCATTTTATCTTATACTTTTTAAATAATCTTAATTAGGGTGTATATAATTGCACAAAAAGAAGTAAAACTGGTGAAGATATATTATTTCACGGATAAGAGTTTTATTTATTACAATAGTAATTAATAAATAGTTTTAAAGAATTGACATAGTAATTACTATATTTAGTCTTTATAAGAATATATCCCATAAAAATATATTCTATAAATTTCTAATGAAGAAAAAATTTAAATAAAATCTTACTACTAGTTTGTTTTTCTAGTTTTTTGCTACAAAGTGACGTCACATTCTCTGAAAAATTTTGGCTTCAAAGATTTACGAAAACGCCGTGTCTATCAGTTTTAATGGTCTAAGAATAAAATTAATCTATTATATAATAAAACAACATAATAAATACATTTAAAGCACATCTGATATTTTCACTATTGTTTGTTTAAATTGAAATTCACTACAGCAGACTTCAGTTTTTCGGCCTAATTTTTGTCTCCAATAGTTCTTTTATAATTCACCCAAGTTTTTTTAAATTTGTGATGAACAGCTTCACCGCATTGTTCTGCATAGTTACCTAAGCTGGTATTATTGTGTTCTACAAAAGGGAGAATATGACACACTAAAATATGTATTTTCCAAGATATTGTTAAATTGTAGTCAAAAATATTTTTGGTATACAGTTGAAGACTAAAAAATGAACTTTTGAAATCTTCAATTTTAACAGAAATATCTGTACCCAATTCCAAACCAAACACTGCTAATTTTATTAATGAAAATTTACGCAAACAATCGATTATTGGTAAAATATTAATTGCTGCAGTAATGGTGACATCTCTCTCTAAAACATCTAACAGGGACAAAAATCTATTAGCATTATTTCCGTCGAAGCCTACACTGTGATACCCTCTCATTAGTATGTAATGTTTTTTCAACCAATTTTCAAAAGCTGGCCAAACACACAAAAGCAAAGTACAAAGTTTATGTACAACTCCCGTCATAATGTGGAGCTCAGGTGGAGGAACAATGAGTTCAAGAAAAGTTTCTTGATCTTCTTGTAAGTAAATTAAACGAGGATTTATAACATTTTTGTATTCCTGCATTTTTAATATTTTTCTTCCATCACATACATATTGATTATAACACAAGTCTAGAGTTCTAAGTTTTCCTGTTTCTAATATGCATTCCCCTTCACAATACAAACAAGCATATTTGCCAGAGTGACTTGACAGTATAAAAATACTGTTTGCACACTTTAGATCAAATGCGAGACTAAAATTCACTTCTTCAAGTTTTAGAGGAGCCAATAATTTTTGGAGATTGCCATTATCCTCTGAAACCAACTCCACAATAGCAAGAATAGAGCAACGTTTCACGCCAGAATCTTCATATATTTCCGATAAAGAATAGTGATTTTTTGGATCAAAAACATTTATGATAACTTTTAAAAAGTTTTGACCGCCATCTATAGAAATTCTAACCATTGCATTAAGATTATCGATGCCTTTTCTTTCAGTTATAAATTGAATAAATTCTGTTGTATTTTTGACATATCTATATCTCTAAAAACTGCCTGATCTCCGTCAACAAGTTCCTCTGTTTTGCATTTATATAAAGTATCCAGAGTTTCCAGCAGTTCATTCATTTTAATATTAATGCTTGATTCTACAACACCAGTTACACTCCTCCATAAAGTAGGACATAATTTTTTTGTTTTGTTTTTAGAAAGTTCTAATACATTTGATAGCTCCATAATGGTTTGGAATGAAATCTGGTTTAAATTATTTCTTTTGGACTTCATTTTATTCACTCCAACTGTAACTGATAGAAGATTTCCACCCGTAGACAACATGAACTGCTTTCCGCTTGCAATGTTTTCACGTTCCATTTTATGTTTTAACAATTCAGATGCTTGATTGTTCCAGATGATTGTTCTGCATTTTTTTCTCCAAGCGACTCATTTATATTTATAATATTGCTTACAGCTTTACTTTTGCAGCAATCATGAAAAACTCCTATTCCTAAAATTAACAGTGAGAATTTTATAACTATTTTTAAATAACTGAAAATTGAATTGGAAATAAAACAATAAAACTATTAAATCAAACATTACAGTTTGATTCAATAGATAAAAAAGTAAAGGAAAAATACATTTTAATGAAGTTTATTTAAATTATAAAACCATAATATTTATTATTTATACCAAGATTTAAGTAGCAAACCCCACAGATTTTCTCAGTTGCATTTGAAATATTTGGCTCTGTTTCAACATTTGTCTGGATACTTAGCAGTGAAGAGGTTCGTCTAATAGTCCTTCTATTGACCTAAATATATAAACACACATTTATTTATATATATATATATATATATATATATATATATATATATATATATATATATATATATATATATATATATATATATATATATATATATATATATATATATATATATATATATATATATATATATATACTATCTATATACATATATATATATATATATATATATATATATATATATATATATATATATATATATATATATATATATATATATATATATATATATATACATATATATATATATATATATATATATGTGTGTGTGTGTGTGTGTGTGTGTGTGTGTGTGTGTGTGTGTGTGTGTGTGTGTGTGTGTGTGTGTGTGTATATATATACATCAATGCTTTCAATATACATGTTTTTAATGCAATAAATCGCTCTAACATTGCAAGAAGGCTATTCCACCTTGTTTTTACATCCAGTATTAACTTGAGTTCTTTATTGTATGTAATTTTTTTGTATTTTTGTAAAATTTCATTTTTGAGTGGTGATTTACGAAACATTTGTACGATTCTCTGGACCTTTTGAATTGTTTGTGCTATACTTATGCAGCCTAATAATTCGTCAGTGATCTCAACGTCTCGCAAGTTTAATAAATCGTAGTTTTGGCTTGACTGTAATTCCACTTAAGTTGTAAAATCGATTTCTTCAGACTCGTCGTCTTCACTATTATTTTCATCAGAATTCTGACTGTTTGATGCATTACACTCACTGCCCAATGAATTTGAAACCACTGATTTTTTTGTAGAGAACATCACAAACTGCTAAATGTAGCCCATGTGCATAACAAAGTTGATGTTTCATTTAATCACTTAATCATTTAATTTACTTAATCTTCCATATTTTTTCATAACTGATGCACCGTCAGTTACACTAGAAATTATATGCTTTTTTGTAGATAAATTAAATTTGGATAATTTATTTTCAACCACATCAATAATTTTTTCAGCTGGAAGCGACCCAACTATTCAAACCATGCCCAAGTTCCAAAGCCTAGTTAATAAATGCGTATTTGAATTCAAATAGCGACGATATTTTAAAGATGTGTATTTGTCCATCGAAATAGAGAATCTTGAACCACCTTGAATTTGCATAGTCATTTCCTTAACCACTACTTATTTTTCTAGATGGTATTGACTTTTGACCAAATTCATTACATGTGAAGGGTTTTTTGACAGTATCATTCCTTTATCAGATAAAGATTTTCTTATAAATTCAGATTTTGCAATAGCATTAATAGAAAAACCATCTACAGCTAGGGCTGTACCGGATTTAATTTTTTCAAATCCGGCCGGAGCCGGATTTGCCGGATTTTTACTGACAGATCCGGCCGGAATCGGAGCCGGAGCCGGATTTCAAAACAAAACTACAGGAGCCAAAATCCTGTACATCCCTAATTGGTGTTGAGCATGGTCAACAATATGGACTATTCAGAATACCAAGTGACTGCTGTTTTCTGTTAAACTTCATTGTTGTTATTTAAAAAGTTTTATAGCAATTTCTATATATAAATTAATAGAAATTCTAAAGATATTCTATAGGCTATATGTTTTAAAAGTTTATAGTAATTCTATTGAACTTTTTTTTCGGGATTTTGTCACTCCGCCACTGTAGTAGATCATTGTGTCTATTTATTTCTGGTTCTTTCGGATATTTTATTAGCTGAGTTTCAATGCCTTTTAGTAATTGTTGTTTATGTGCCCTGCCACCAGCGGACGTAGACTGAATAATTTTATCAATAAATTGCCAGAGTAATGATGATGATGATGTAAAAAAATTATTAAGCCCGGCTTATTTCGGTGGATTTTCTTCAGTTTTGTCAATCTTCTGTTCAGCATGCTCAGATTGACTTCAATCTTGTTTTTTCAGCTGTCAGTGTTGCCTGTAATGAGGAGAATTTAGTTTTAAATTGTGAATCAACCAGCCTCGTCAGTATATAAAGAGGTTTCTCTTTTCAATGCTTTTAAAACGCTCATCCAATCACTTGATTAGGGTTGACATCATAGTCTTTATACCTGCATCATTCTAGAATATCGTGTGTCTTCCCTGCAAAATTTTTTGTTGCGTTTTTGTTTTAAATTAAACTTAGCTTATTAAATTATAAAGAAATATAAATACAAATACCAAAACAAATATGAGGTTCATAAAATATAGAATTACAAAAATAATTGATTTTTATAAATAAAATATTAGGTATACATGTAAACACGGGCAAAAAAAATGTAATAAATATTTGACAAAGTTCAAAACTCCGGCTAAAATTATGCCGGATTTGCTAAATTTTTGCCGGAGCCGGATTTGGGCCGGATTTGTAAAAATGGCCGGATTTCGGCCGGAGCAGGAGCCGGAGCCGAAATCCGGTACAGCCCTATCTACAGTCGCCAATTTTGAAACAATATCTTCTATAGATTTCTTTTTTATAAACGACGTAATTTTAGGTTGAGGATTTCTAACTTCAAAACTTGTGTCTTCCTTAGGCCTTTTTTTCGGTACTTCAATCTCGACTTCCTTGTGAAGATTTTTTAAATAACGAAGAAGACCACTAGTTGAAAATCCTTTGCAAATTATTGTTGTTTTACATATATTACAAGTGGCAGATTCTGTGTTTTTTTCTTTTGTAAAATTTTCCCATGCCTTAAATCCACTTGACATGATGCGCTATATTTGTTATCCTATTAATTAAATTGATTAATATATAAATATAAAACTATATTACCTACAAATAGTGTGCTGATAGTAGATTTACTTAAATTATTTAAAAATAGCTGTAATTACTAAACATATATTTCATACTTTACATACTTGGTTTTCACTTATTTCACTTTTTACATATCTTAACGTAACTAATTACTTTACTTACCAACTATTAACTTTTATGCGTAACTAATTACTTTTTTTGAACGAACGTAACTTCTCCGTGGTTATTTCATATTGATTTCGTTTGTTTGTTCAAGCTTTATATGCTGTAAGTTAAAACATAAAAGTAAATCAAATCTATTTATAAATCAAATTCAATAATAACATTTTATCTATCTAAGACACAAACAAAAACTGCAAAATATTGGTGATTTAATTGCCCTCTATAAGATATCTTCCTAATTTTTATAGAAATTCATTATAAAAGGGAAAAGGAAGTAATTAGTACTCAAATTTTGAGTAATAATATTTTTAATACCTTTACAAATTTAAAGATATTAAAAATGTTATTACTCAAAATTTAAGTAAAAATATGTTTAATAAAATTATCGGGATTCCCGGGAAATTTCATTGCAATCCCGGGATAACGGGATGGTTTTTTACCTCCGGGATCCCGGGAAAATCCCGTTTGAGAAGCCCTAATGTGAAATATTAAATTTAAATATAATTCCGAATTATAAGCAAATTGCGTCGGCGAACTCACGTAAATTTAAATTTCAACGTAGTTTCAACGTTATTTCAACGTTTATTTTTCAACTTTAATTCAACGTTTGTTTTTAGTTAAAAATAAACGTTGAATCAACGTTGAAATTTCAACGGTTTTTTTTTAACGTTGAACTAGCGTTGAAATAACGTTGAAATTTAGATCATTATTTATCAACCATATATCAACCGTTTCGCAACGTTGAAATAACGTTGAAATAACGTTATGCGTTTGCTGGGTTGGTGCTTTTCCATAAATCTTACACAGAAAGGTGATTTGTAAAAGTTTATTTGTGAGTATTGCTCTAACTGCATTAGGTGAAAGATTAAAGTATAAATGATGATTTTTCAAGTTTATATTAGCATGTCTGTGATATATTTACTTTAATATATTTAACTTAACTGTGGAGAATTCTTTTTTGTAATGCGTTGTAGACACCTATTTTTATTTTTTGCATACAATAGAGTTGCACTCTCTTTATCCTTTGTCAAAAGAAAAAGATGGCTTTTATTTTTACCAATTTTAGCACCATCTAAAATCATCTAAAATGTAACTTATAGTTTTAGGATCAATATTATATCCACCTTGGTAACTGATTTGTAGCCGCAACTGTTTTTTTTTTTTTTTTTTTTTTTACAATAATCCAGAGCATTTGCTAAAATGTGGAGTTGGAGTCGGAGTTGCGGAGTTGCAACATTTTTAGCGGAGTTTTTTTTTTTTTTTTCATGTTTACAATTTCTTTTATATGTTTATAAAACATGTTGTTGGTTTTAAAATGTGTTTTTACTCATCAGAATAACTACAACAATCTATAACTTATATTAACTTACAACAACTGTATTAATATAACTTTACTCAAAAGTATCAACTACATTGATATTGTTGAGTAAACTTTACTCAACCACAACAATGTAGTTTTTTTTTTTTTTTTTAAAAGTACAAATGTTTGAATACATTTACTGTGAAGTTATTAAAACATGCTGTACTTAAAAAAAAAAATCATTCTTCAAAATTTTCTTACAAATTTTTCTTAAAACTATATTTTATATATTAGAAAAAGTTATACAAGTAAAAAACTCAAATTCAAGTTTCCCGCCGTTTTTATTTGTTTTGAAAATACTGTAAAAAAACGGCGATTTTTATTCAACATTTGTGTTTCTTTAATAACTTCCGATACTGCAGGAAACCGCAGTAATCCCTTTATAAATTAATTATTTTTGGAACAAAATTTTAGCTGATATTTAAACCAAAAAGTATATATTCTCTACTTTAAATTAAAAAGTTCTTTAAACTTGTATAAAAAATCAGATTTCTTTTTTCTTTTCAATATATTTAAAGTATATAGAGGCTAAAATCTAAAAAGCAAATGAGTTTGGGTTTGTTAACTCAAAAATTAGAAATTTATATCAAATATTTAACAAAATATAAAATTTATAAAGTTCTAATAATGTAGTGCGACACTAGGCACTATTATGCTGACAACTTTGAGACACGAGTTGCGTCCATTATTTGTACTTCTTCCATTAATATGAGATGCGAGTATTCCCAAATCACGTTAATTTATTGCGCTTTTAAGTATTTGTCTGTTTCCTAGTTGATCAAAAATTGTGTTCTTGAGTCAATTTGTTGATTAGGCGTTCAACGTGCACCACTTTGCGTTTTTCCACGTTAAATTACATGAGACATTTTTTGGATCAATATATTACTTTGTCAATGTCATCTTGTAACGTTACACCGTCTGCCTCGCTCTTTATTAAGCTTAAAATTTTGCTGTTGTCAGCATATATCTTATTTGGAAGTGCTATATTGTCTGGTAAATTGTTTATGTAAAGTATAAATAAAAGAGTTCCGAGACTTAAACCCTATGGAACACCACTTTTAATTTCTTTTAATCTAATTTATGATTATCGATAGTTACCCTCGGTTGTCGGTTCGCTTGCCAGTATATATATACTTTTTATATACTTTTATGTATATATATACTTTTTTTTTGCCTAATGTCTCAAAGATATCATGTAAATTGAATATAGGGTAGAACGGGGCATAACGGGACAATTTTGCTCTGAACCTTTATATCTCGGCTAAAAATGTTTTTTTTTCAAAAATATTTTTTTGATAAAACATTTTAAATTATTGTGCTTCATTATTGTAAAAAAATAATAGTTTTAGAAGTACGGAAATTTATTAAAAGTACCAAAATTCATTAGTAAGTTAGCAAAAAATAAACTTTGCGTATTTTTTTAAACGATACAACGACAAAAGATTTATTTTGAACTATTGCTAATTTGTTTTATTTATAAAAAGTTTATATTTTTCAGACAGTATTTTTTATCCTCTTTTAGAATCTGGTTTTAAAAAAATATCTGTAATTGAACTTTTTGAATATTTTTAAATTCAGTAAAATGATTTTTGTGGGACATATCGGGACAACAAGTTATTTATATAATTGATTATATTATTACCGTTTTATTTACGGTTTGATGACTTTATTTTTAATCTAAAAATTATTTTCATTATTTAGAAACGTAACATTAGTAATAAGTTCCAAGGAATTGTTATTTTTATAATTTAACTTCGATTATTTAATGTAAACAACTATTCGAATGTTTAATGTAAACAACTATAGTAAGAAATTATATAAGAAAGATCAATCATCCAAAATGGGATGAAATGCAGTTTTAGCTGTGAATAAAAAGGAGCTTATAATTCGAAAAACTGCTGATATATATGACATAATGATATATATGATATATAAGCCAACTCATCAAAAATGTTACCAAATAGTTTCCGAATACTTTTTGTGTGATTTATGTAATCCATAATATTTTTTGTTTAATTTTAGATTTAGTAATAGTTATCAATTTAATAATATATACTAGTTTTGCCCAACTTAAATTTTTGAACAATATCTTAAGTTTGTTTGTATAAGAGTATTTTATAATAAAAAACAAAAACTTTTCTTTACTTTAGTTTTTTTTTTTTTTTTGTGTTGTATGAGTGTATGAGCGTGTAATTTGTATGGACATGTTACTTTTTTAAGGTTTAAATGTCTGAACAAGTTTAAATGATAAAATGCCTTCATTTTTTATCACTTTTAAAGCTTTACAATTAACGAATAACTGCTCCTTTTTCACTGTCCCGCTTTGCCCCACCCATATGCAAAATGTAGAAATTTTGTCTCTAGTCAAGAGTTTCATTACTTTGGTTGTCATAGTTTATTTTTAGAATTTTTATTTTTTGTTTTTCCGTCTTCTTATATCAATAAATTTTAGAAAAATTATAAAAAGTAGTGTTAACTATGATTTTATCTGCAACTAGCATTTGTTTCTTAAGTGTCCCTATATGAAAAATGTTTAAATTTTAGTTTTTGAATATTTTTAAATTAAAATTTTTATATTTCTAAGATTGTAGACTACTATTTCAACGATAACATTTTTTATACTTACATCGCATTATAAGATGAATTACATTTAATTTTTTTAAAAGGTTATTATTTTAATCAACTGATTTTTCAACTGTATTTTTGATCGGCTAAATTTTCAACCTGCTGCACTTTTGATTAATTGATTTTTCAATCAACTTAACTATTTATCTCGTGTCGCGCATGAACTGCGCAGCATGTTTGAAAAAAGTCGACATTTTTAAAACAATGTCGGCTTGTTTTGATACTTTTTAAGATGTTTGTTATAATATATATTTTTAAATTGTATAAAATTACATTTTACAGCGGTGGTCCGTTATTACTTTTTATATGGGTTTTGCGTCTTTTATATTGTTCACCCACTATTTATATTAGTTACACATTTCATTATGACCATTGTTTCATATTTTTTTATTTTTAGGAGAATTTTTCCCGTTCTTGGTTTTTCCGTTTACGGATTGCAACTTCAAGAATTGTATTCTTTTGAAGCTGAAGTAGTTCCTGCAGATGAATATCGTTACAAATATATTAACAATGAAGGGTGGAAAATAAACGGTACTGCGCACCCGCTACCTGGCAATACTAGCATAGCTCATCCAGATGGTATTCAAAATGGAGAGCATTGGCTTAAAAATGGAGTTGTTTTCAAAAAATTAAAACTGACCAATAAGAAAAAATCTAAAGAAAATTCAAATGAGGTAAAAAAAAGATCTTGATCAAAGTTTTTAATTTAAATATTTTAATATTAATGCGTTTATGATTTGCATTATTATAGATTCTTTTAAACTCAATGCACAAGTATCAAATTCAGTTAATTATAAAACGAATAGAGAACGGGGAAAACGTTGTCGAGAAAAAAAAAGTCTTGTTTATTGAAACAACTTTTATAACAGTAACTGCATACCAAAATGATGGTGTTACTCAATTAAAAATCGATCATAATCCGTTTGCAAAAGCTTTTAGAGATGTGAACCCCAATGCTTTTCAGAATATTATGTATCATCCAGAAAAACGCCAGAAGATAAACCAAGACTATTTGGCCAACCTACCTGAAACCTGGTTACCATCTAATATTATTACTGACGGATTAAACTTTTCGCAACCTTTATTTTACCCTAGGGAAGTTAATTTTTATAACAATACAAAACCAATACTGGAAAGACATTGGCAAACATTTAATGAAACCTTTGCTTTAGATCATAGAATTGACCAATACCGTTACAACTCTCCGAACGTTCTAAACAACTGTGAACATTATGACCTTATGAATTCATGGGATCAGAGAGTGTAGTGGGAATTTTAATGTATTTGTTTTAACCATGAGTTGTAGTATGAAACGTAACTAATTTTTTTTTTAAGTCATACTAGCATCTTATGTAAACCCACGTCACATAATTGTCGGTGCAAGTTTGAATTTTTCTGTGTATGTTTGCATTTTCAGTACATTCCTGCAATATTATGTTTTGTTGAGTGCATTTTATCTATGCATGTCTGCATTTTCCAGCGTTTGTATTCATTCGTATTTATATTTCCTGTGTTTGTATACATTCATATGTTAAAATAGCATTGAAGGTGGAGAAAGTTTAGCTTTATTGCGTTGACTCATTAATCATTTATAATTTGTTATCTGATCATAACATACGTAATAACCACGATTATAGGGTAATTAATAATCAATACCACAATAATACCACAATAATACCACAATAATACCATGAATGTACGATAATACCATAATAATGAATAACTTAAATATCTTTATAAATATTGTTTACACATATGTTGTTTTTTTTTAATTACTTTGAATAGTTTTTTAATTTAAAGTATTTTATCAACTACTTGTTAAATTTAACTTTTTCTTATAGGCTAAAGTGTTTATTAAAATGTTTCAGAGTTTTTACAGTTTTAATGTAGTACAAAATATCTTCTTGCAAATTTACAAAATGTTTTTACTAATTTTTATTTTTTGCATACTTAAAGGCTATTTTCCAATATTTCTAGAAATGTTGTACAACTGTTGTGTTGGTTTAAGTAAGACTTCTACGTACGCATTCTAAACTCACATTTAAGCTTCTCAAACAGGATCCCGAGATCCCGTGAGTGAAAAATCATTCTCTTATCCTGGGATTTTAATGAAAATTCCCGGGAATCCCGGTAATTTTTTTGCGCAACACATTCCTACTTGATGCAGAAGCCTCTGCATCAAGTAGGAATGTGTTGCGTTGTAATGAATTGAATGTATTGTGTTGTAACAGTAATACACCCTAGGGCGTAGTACTGTTTATATTATATGTTTTGTTGAGAATATTGATGGTCGTAGTGCTTCGGTTGATATTAAAGAATTAGAATGCAGTAATGATGGGACTAAAACGTCGTTTATGGCCGAACTAAATTTATCTCCTACATATATCGGGTGGACATCCGGTCAACTTTAAATTGAGATTTCTCTAAAACCACAAATGCTTTTTATTTCTTTTTTTTTAATTAAACGTTTATTTGTTATTTAAACGTTATTGTTTACAAATTAATGATTTGAAAAATGTTTGGAAAACAAAGTAAAGTGCGTAAAAAAGTTTTAATTTTTTTTTGCAAAAATCCATCGACTTCATATCGCTTGATTGCTAAACATACAAATGTATCAAAATCTACACTCATCCCAGTGGGCACAGGTACGTTTTGCAAACGTACCTGTGCCCACTATACGTTTTGCAAACGTACCTGTGTCTTTTTTATTATTTGTTACTTCACCTGTCTTACAAAGAACTCCTTTAACTATTGCCCAAAAATCTTCAATATTGCGCTCTTTAGGACGATTTGGAGGATTCGCATCTTTAGGAACAATTTCCACATAATTATTTTTGTACCAATGTAGACCTTTTTTAGAATAGTGAGAGGCAGCAAGATCTGGCAAAAAGAGACATCGGTATTTATGTTTTTTCATAAATGACAAAAGTCTTTTTTGAAGACATTCTTTGATGTAGAGATTGCCAGTCAAGGTCTTCTTAGTGACAACACAAGAGGACTGCATACCACATCTACAAATCTCTTACCACACAAAAAGTTTGGATGCAAATTCTTCTCGTCGAATATATTTAAATTGATCATCAACAGGTTTTGCTTTGGATAAAACGTATTCTAAACGTTTTTTTAAGGTCCCATAAAATACGATATTAAACGATAGAAAAAGACCTATTAAAACGTTATTTGAACGTTTTATGGTCGCTTGAAGGACGTTTGTGTAAGTAATATAACATACATTACACATACTATTAAAGATGTCACTTAGATTTAGTATTTTTTGAAAATATCTAAAACTACATCCAAATAGTTAGATAAGCAATTTTTTAAACTACCTTGGATACCTATTATTGGCCCTAAACTTCGAAGAGAATTTAGAAAATAAAACGTTAGAGTGATATTTACTTCAGCTTCCAATTTTATGCAATAATAAAACAAAACTAGGGCAAAGTGACCAATTAATGGCCACAAATTTTTAATAAATAGTCGTGTAGGATGTCTTAAACTAATAATGAACTTTTTTTTTACTGTTTTATTAATGACCAACGCCTACACCTTATACTAACCTTTTTTAATTTTGAAACATTTTTAATTCAGACAAAAATTTATTTAAACTGAGATTTTAAATTGGTACCAATTATTGGCCGGGTAGACCAAATAATAGCCAGCAAGTTAAAAAACGGTACCTATTATGAGCCACTTACATTACCTAAAATCAATTTATCTAAGAATGCTTATATATCGAAAAGTATTATTCAGACAGACGATTAAAGTCGATTAAATGAACTAGGATCTACCTTAAAGAACTATAAACCAAGATTATTTTTTTAAAGTAAAATATTCTATACTTCGCTTTTTTAAACGAAGTATAGAATATTTTAAATAATATTTTTATATTATTTTGGTTGATATTAAACGAAAAAACTTGCAACAGTTTTTATTTGTTATTCAAATTAAGATACTCTATCAAAAAGGAAATACAAAATAAGTTAAGAAACTTTTTAATTACTTTTATAGAAAATCGAGCATAAAACAAATTTTAAATAAAAAATAGCTTTAGCGCATAGGTGTTTTAATAATAATGCAATTTTGAATATATGGACAACAAGCTTTACAATAATATATTAGAAGTTTTAATAATATTAAAATAACAAGAAGAAGTTTTCACTTTATATTACCAATGAATTGTTGATAATAATCTATTTACATTAGCTCACTAGTATTATTATCGATGGAGAAAATATTTTTGATCCTTTTTTCGATTTTCTTTTGACTTAATAGTATATATCTTTGGATAAAGCAAAATATCATTGTCACTATCATTATTTGAATGGTTTGTACACAACATAATTGGCGTCAGACTAGGCTGAATAATGGCTCCAAATGGCATATGATTACAACCATTAGTGGTTCCATTGGAAAAAAAAACTAGACTTCTCAGTTGTTTGATTGGGCACAGGAATTTGCTGAACAATAGTTTCATTTAAAAATGGAATAGTAACTATGGATTCAGTTGGCATCGGAACAGAGTCATCTATTTCTAAAATGGTATTTGTACATGAAATCTGTTTCAGTTTGAATTCTTTATATAACTTATACAAGGGATCTGGGATGTCGTAGCCATTTTGAAAACAGAAATTAAAAGTTGTAAACTGCTCATGAGTCAAATGGGTATCCCATATTAAAGAATTATTTTCAAGGTTTATCAAATTATTATCTATTTTACATTCAGACATATTTCCAGGTTTATTAACTAATTCTACTTCAAAATGAACTTCTTCTATTGCATATTCTGATCTTGTTATTTTAGTGTCAGTTTTGATTGGATGCAGACTTGATTCAAGCAGATCATTTGAGTCAAGTAGCTGTTGTATGGAATAGACAGAATTAGGCAAGTAAGCTGTGCTTGGAACAGCAGACGGATTGTATGGATAAATACCACATGATTGAAACCCTGAAATAATATTAGCAGCTGTGAGAGCTTGATCCCAGGTTTTCTTAAAAACCCACAAAAAGTTGACTTGTCAATAGTAACTCTAGGATATTCATTCATTAACTCATGACATGTTTAATTATAATAGGTTTTAAGAGGACCAAATACTGTGCGATCTAGAGGTTGGAGCCAATGCGAACAATGCACTGGCATTTCCACAATATAAATGTTATTTTCAATTGCAACAGACAATAACTCAACAAAGTTATGAGAATCGTGACCATCAACTATAAAAACTTGTGGCCTATCTCTACCTATATTAGGCAAGAAAGTATTAGTGAACCAAAGAAATGCAATTCTTAGCTTTGTCTAACCTGTCTCACTAAAACTACAATTTGAGCCTGATGGTGCATCTGCAGTATTGAAAGAATGAAGGGATCTAGCTGTTTTACCTTTTGCTATCAAATGCGGAGGTACTAAACCACCTGGAGCATTTACAGCAGTAATAACGGTTATGATTTCACGTTTTCCAGATGTGCGAGATTAAAGGTGTTTTTTTACCTCTTTTTGCAATTATTTTAGGAGGTTTAAAATCCATCTGTAGCCCAGACTCATCCATGTTCCAAACTAATGAAGCTTTTAAAAAGGCATGAGTGTCACTCAAAACTTCATGCAGCGAATAGAAATATTTAGCAACTTTTGGTATAGACATGCAATGATGACGAACTGATGAAGTACCTTCAGGCTTTCGCAAAACTAAATTTTTATGTCGCTAATTAAATGAGCGCCACCATTTTTCTGAAGGACTTGAATGTTTAAACTTTAAATTGTGCTTTGTGGCTAAATCTGAAGCATATTTTTTAAATTATCTTTTTCCAAATCCAAATCCAAGTGCAGCTCTTGTTGAGGCATATTCAACTAGCTTTAGCTCTAAATTTATTGATAATATTGGACTAGGTCCGGGTTTGACACCAAGAACTGAATCCCCTTTAAGATATTTACTAAGGGTTGACCGAGGAATAATAAATTGTGTTGCAGCTTCTCGTTGCGACATTAAACTATTTTGAACAGCTGCAATTGCATTCTTCATGTTGCTGTTGGACCACTGAAATCTCTTTAAATTTTTCACTTTCTGATTCAACTTTGAATTAAAAATAGAGCCAGTTTTCTTTTTAATCATGTTATTCTTTTTTGTGATTTTCATAGTTTTTCCCATAATTACTCAAATTAACTAAAAGATAGGGTATACTGACTACAATAGTTGCCCTTACAAAAATCTAATGTAAATATATTATCATTGTTATGATAATATATTTACATTAGATTTTTGTAAAGTTATATACAGATACCACAAACAAATATATATACAAGCATAAAGTATGCTTATCATACATATCTATAAATCAATGTAACAGAAATAGCATACATAAGTACAATGGTTAAATATAACATAATACTTATAATACATAATACTTAGTGAGCATTCAATTAAATATACAAAAAATATATTTATTAAATTGTTATGTAGCTAGTAAATATAAATAATAATAATTTTTGTTTATATGTATTATATAAATTATAAAATACAAATCATTTCTTTAATTGTTTACAAACATTATAAAAAATAAAATTTCATACTTGCAAACATAATAAACCTTTATAATAATACTGTAAAGTAAATACTAATTATACTTGGTATTTATACATGGTAAAGTAAACACTGATTATAGTTAATATAAGCCTTAATATAAGGCTTATATTAACTATAATCAGTATTTACTTTACCATGTATAAACACTAAGTATAATTACAATAAGGATACAATTAGGACAAACAAATTATTAGGACTTTTATAATAAAGACATATAAGTTTAATTTATTGTGACACAATTTGTATTTAAACTATAAATTACACAATAAATTAAACTATTTTCCTAATAATAGCCACGTAACAACACGATATTACAAATAAGAGCCGTGGCTTTTATTTGGTTAAATGAGTGGCTATTATTGAGACCTATTTGAAATCTGGGAGTTTATGTTATATTGATGCTTCTGCCTATCCTATATTGACGAACAAAACAGTTTACATAATATTATTAAAGTAAACAATAGATCAAAATAAACCAAAAAGCCGTACCTGAAAAAATATTGCGTTAAATTTGTCTCAAAGTTGCACGAAAAAACCATAAATAACTATTTACGGCATAAAATATTCATTTAAATTAACATTGAGAAAAATAAGATTTCCTTCAAGTCAAGACTGAAAAAAAATATTTATAAAAGTTAAATTAAATCATAGATATACCAAAGAAACAGAAAAGTATAATCAACAACTAGATAAATGTTCCGCCAAATAAATAAATGCAATCAAAGCGGACCCAAATGTAGCTCTTAATAAAACCCGGCCATTATTAGGGCATTTTGCCCTACCACCGAACTCACATCAGGGTGTTTACGAGCTTAAATGCTCATGCGGAAATATATATATTGGTGAGACCAAAAAAAAATCATTTCATGAAATGCGGAACTCCAAAGAGCCTGTAAAAATCAAAAATGGTCGAGTTCAGGAGCCACGAAATATTCTAGAACATGTTGTGGTACTTTTGATTGGCTGAATCCACTGATCTCGGTACGCGTATACGGCAAATTTTTTGATTTCGGGGTATTACTGCCCGCCCCTTTCCCCCTCCCCTAATATAATTTTTGATCCTATGATTTGAGCCTGTATTTGAGCCTGTATATTTCAAAAGTTAGCTTTTTACATAATTACGTGTAACTTAGCTCAAAAACAGTTGCTATTAAGACTTTGAATTTTTAAAGATTACTAATTAAAAAATTTTTTTTTTCTATTACTTACAAAAATAAGTTTTTTTTCAATTATTTACGAAAAGAAATTTTTTTCGAATTACGAGAAACAAAATTATCAGGCACAGACGAGGATCGAACTCGCGATCTTCTGTTTACGAGACAGACGCCTTACCACTTGGCCACTGCGCCTTGTGAATACCTTATAAAATTTAAAATTAATAAATTAAAAAGATTAAAAAAGTTTCTTAAATATAAAAATTTAAACATTATTCAAACTTCAATGCTTCTCAATAAAATCAGATTTTAAGCTTTTAAAACTCCTTAAATACTTTTGTGCTTATAAGAGTTTGTAATATAATTACTTTATTTTACTGAAACTTTATTGGCAAGGTATATGGGCCCTCAGTGCTAGGGAGCCCTTGTTGAAGCCAGCTCGCATGGATTTATTTTGTAGGCGACTTGGCTCTATGAAACTAGGTAGTTTCTACCCTAATAAAAAAATTTATAATCAGTATTTATTCTTTATTTATATAAATTTTTTTTATAATTATAAAAAAAATTATATTTATTAGAGAGGCGGTAATTTTTCTAAGATAAGGCAATTTAACAAACATTGTTTTAGTGGATTTGCAATGGACCTATGTAGGCATTTTGAGCGTTTCATTAGAGTTTGGCTTATCGATTACTTAGTGGACCATTAGTCGCACCCGCTATAAATGGCCAGCCGATAACTTTCCAACATTAATAATAGCTAGTCATCGGTTAGCCACCTTTGGCGGCTGTCACTAATGGTCCACTAGGTAACCGATGAGCAAAACTACAGTGGACCACTTGAAATGTCTATATAGGTCTACTGAAATTCCGCTATAAAATACTTGCTATTTTATAGTCGGGTGAGTTTTAGTTTTGAAGACCTTTTTTTTATTTTTTAGAAACAGTTGGTACTTTTTAAGGATTCACCCTCTCATTTTATTTGTAGAATCTCCTCTGGCTGTACTACGTATTTCTAAATTTCTAACCCTCTTGAAGTCTTACAGAGATAAAAATAAATGACAGTAAGAATAAAAATTAAATATAAAGTTTTTAATATATTATCTTATATTTTGCGTGTACTCTATGTTTATCGATTGAACTGTTTCGTCAAATGATTTTGTTTTACCGAATGTTTTCATCAAGAAAATCCTTCATTGCTTTATTTAACCAAAATTTGTCTCTATTTTAACCTTGTACACCACTCATCACGCCTGTTCATTCCCGAACCTTGTATATATGTGATTAAATACATCTAAGGAGCTACCAACCTTCCTTCAGTTAAAACTTTCTAACCGCTAACCAATCACTCTCCACTTTAAAAAAAAACTATCTTACGTAGTTTTTTTTTTTTTTTTAAAAAAAAACGTCATAAAAGAAAAAGTTCAGAAAAATTCAGGTAAACAATATTTATAGTTTAATCGATAGTTATTTTTTTATGTTTTGCTATTTTGAAGCAACTTTATTTAAATGTCTAATTAAAATTTCATCAGTAAATATTCTCCAGATTTGCAAACAGATAAATATAAAATATATTTAAAACATAAAATATAAAATATATTTAAAACATAAAATATAAAATATATTTAAAACATAAAATATAAAATATATTTAAAACATAAAATATAAAATATATTTAAAACATAAAATATAAAATATATTTAAAACATAAAATATAAAATATATTTAAAACATAAAATATATTTAAAACATAAAATATAAAATATATTTAAAACATAAAATATATTTAAAACATAAAATATATTTAAAACATAAAATATATTTAAAACATAAAATATAAAAATATATTTAAAACATAAAATATAAAATATATTTAAAACATAAAATATAAAGTATATTTAAAACATAAAATATAAAATATATTTAAAACATAGCTGTAGCAAGCAGATCTGTTTGTAAATCCGCAAAAATACTCAAGCAATTAAATTACATCCTGGGGTCAATGTTATAAAACTTATTATCGGCGTAAAATTCTACCGGCGAAATTTTTATTACAGCCGTAAATTTAGAGACGTAAAATGTTTTTTCATTCAATGTTACCGGCGTAAAATTTTGAAGATATCTCTGCTCTGAATTTATTTTCGGAAATCTACTGTCTGAATCAATAACTTAAAAGGTTGTCAAAAGCAAAATGTTTTTGAGTTGAAAACATCAAAGTTAACAAAAATTAACAGTCTCTTATGGATTCGGACTTAGACTGTTCTGATTCTGATAAAGAATATTTTGTTGCTTTAGAATATTTGGCAAATCAGAGACAACCACGAGAAGTAAAACTGTTCAAACAGTATTTAAACTGTTAAGAATACAATTTAAAAGTAAAAAAATGGAATTGTCTTTAATTTTTTACCCTACCCTATAAAAATATTTGTAGAGCTTTTCTATAAAAATAACTTATACTATTTTTTATATAGAGGTTTCTTTAGACCAGAGTTGTTAATTGGCCTTGACCTTGCCTTAAGACCAAAAACTGAGGCCTTGGCCTTGAAACTTTTGGCCTTGGCCTTGAAGTTTTTGTCCTTGACCTTGTTTGTTTTGGCCTTGGTCTTTATAATAAAATACATAAAATTAAAGAATTAAAAGTTTTTATTCTTTTTTTTTACGTAATTAATTAGGTTAAAAAAAAATTATGGCAATATTAATAATGTTATTAATATTGCCATAATTTTTTTTTATATTACTGTTTTTGTTATATTACTGTTGTTGTTATTATTATTGTTGTTGTTATTTTACTGTTATTTTTGTTATTATTATTATTAAAATAGTATAGTGTATTATACACTATACTATTTTAATAGTTTTAGAATGTTAGAATTTTAGAAAATTGTAAAATAGTCTATTTATATCATTTCACGAAAATTTTTATATTATTATTATGTTCAAATCATAGACCTACTTATCGACTTACTAAATATCTCTAGTTGATTTTAGAAAAATTTAGTTAGCAGAAGAAAATATCAATCAAAAGGAGATCAAATTAAACTTGCAAATTATACATAATTATGCGCCAATTATTCATCTAAAAACGCTGAAAGTCACGTGTCTAAACAAATTATTTATTTATTATAAATATTTTAATGATACGGTATGTAGCGATAGCTTAACGGTTAAGCTCATCACTCTGACGCTGGCGCTCCGAGGTCTACTCCTACGAGTGTTCTTATTTAATATACTATCTAATCTTGATATAAATAAAATTTATATTTTTTTTTGAATAAATGATTTATAATTTTTATTAATCAAATACTTGATCCTTATTTATTAATTAGTAAATAATATACTAGAAAAAAATAAATGGTGCGTTTTACCTAACATTTTCATTTTACTCTTAATTGACTTTATTAACAGAAATACTTAGGTATAGACACAGCTATTTACTTTTAAAAAATGAAATAATTCTACAAAATTTCTCTTTACATTTTCTAAAAAAAAAAAACTCTTTAAAAATACTTTAAACTTTAAATAATCAGTTTGTTTTTTAATTTATTTTTATATAATTTGAAGTGATGAGCAGAATAAATTACGCATTAATTATATTAAATTAGCAATTTGACTTTGATCGCCTTTTTTGCTAACCATCTTGTATATACCACGTGTGCACAATATAATTTTGAATTTTTAAGATTGCTGTCAGTTTTTTTTATTGTTGGCCTAAGTATTTTGTTCTTCGGTATGTTGTCTGCTTAATCCCTGGTATTACAGTATACAGTCTTGAAAAAGGTAAATATTCGTATTTCGATTATTTTTTTTTAGTTTTAGTATTAACATTATTGTTATCATATATATATGATAACAATATATATAATACACACTTTTTAGGATTCTTATTTTAAAAAGCAATGATGATTCATAGTAAAAAGCTTAGTGGCGCAGAAAACCGAAAACGAACCCATGCAAAAAATGAAGCTCAAGCAAAAATACTTTTAAAGACTGCTAAGTTAGAAACATATTTTAGCTTTACAGATAAACAGCTTCACACATCGCCGGGTAAGTTTATTTAGCTAGAAAACCATACGTTTTATTAATTTTGCTTTCTAGCAAATATATATACATATAGGTACATATTGTTCTGTTATTTATTGTTTATACTTCATATTGTTATGTTATTTATTATTAAATGTAAATAATTTATATCTAAAATGTAGATATGTGTAGTAATCGTTATTTATGCTTTCAGTTGAAAATGTAAATATTACATGCGATGAAAATGATCACAGCTTTATTGTTAATAAGAATAACCTATCAAATCCAGACGATTTAATATTAATATTATCAAGTAATTGCTGTACTGAAACTAGTAAAACTCTATTGACTCCAGAATCCAAAGAACTAAATGAAACGCCCTGTTTGTCCATGCATGAACATAACAAGCCCGAATGTTTATTGTAAAATCTTTATTTAAAATTTGATACAATTTATAAATAATATCTTTTGGTACATGCATGTTATACAAAATTTATTATATTTTTCTCTATAGAAACCAAAATGATCACAGATTCACTGTTAATAAAGATAATCTAACAAATCCAGACAATCTTATATTACTAAATAACAGCAGCACAGAAACGAGTAAAACTCTATTGTCTACAGAATCGGAAGAAATAAATGATACACCACGTTTGCCAATGGTTGAACATAACAGTCTTCCTAAACAAAGTATTGTTCCTGAGTAAGCTTTTTTTAATTTTTTTCATGGTAGGTTACAATTATAAACATGTACAAAGGTAGACTATTTTTTTAAGTCGCTTGTCATGTAAAATTATGCTGGAAATTAAATTATTAACAAATATAGTACACTCTGTACATTTTAAACGATACCTATATCCTCTAGTTATATTATATTATGCATTTATCTCTATTACCTAATGCTTGAATGTTTTTTTTATACAATTTGTAATAAACTTTGAATAATATTTTTTGGTTTTTGTTTATTAAACAAATATATTTTCCCTTTAGAAATGATCCTGCCAATTGGATAAAAAATCAAGAAACGATAGATTATTTATCAATCAATGGATTTAACCAAAATTTAAAGAACAATAATTTCCAAAAGTCAAAAAGAATTTACACTAAAATAATTGGTGGGGTAAGACGTACTCGTTTTCGATATATGTCAAAAAGTATATTTATATCTACTCTTGTTAATGGTGAAAAAATTAACCGAACATTTTTGATTTACTCAGAAAGTAAAGGATCAATATTTTGTGCTCCCTGCTATTTATTTGGTGGCACTACATCGTTTGCCACAGTTGGTTTTTCAGATTGGAAAAAAGGAGAAGAAAAAATCAAGCGTCATGAAAATTCACAACACCACAAATTGTGTGTAATGAATATGAAAGAAAGAAAAGAAGTATTAAATCGAGTTGATCAAAAGCTAAAGTATCAAGTAGAAACAGAAATAAATTATTGGAAAAATGTATTGACAAGAGTTGTAGCTGTTGTGAAATCCCTTTCTTCTCGTGGAATGTCTTTTAGAGGTGATGATGACCGTTTTGGATCTGTTCATAATGGGAACTTTATGATGAGCTTAGAGCTTATTGCTCAGTTTGATCCTTTTTTAGCACAACACATTGAGAAGTTTGGAAATAAAGGAAAAGGTTTAACATCATACCTATCATTTAATATATATGAGCAGTTCATAAGTATAATGGCAGATAATGTTATTCAACAAATGGTGAAAGAAATAAAGGAAGCTAAATACTTTTCCATCAGTATTGATTCTACTCCTGACATTAGCCATGTAGATCAACTGTCATTCATTTTTCGGTATGTTCAAAAAAATGGCTGTCCGGTAGAAAGATTTTTAGGGTTTTTACCTAATTCTGGTCATAAATCTGAAGAATTAGCAGATGCTGTATTTTTAGTTTTAGAATCGCATGGATTAGATATTAATAATTGTCGTGGTCAAAGTTACGACAATGCGTCTAATATGTCTGGTAGATACACAGGACTTCAAGCTCGCATTAAAAAAGTTAATCCTTTAGCAACATTTGTACCATGCTCGGCACACTCTTTAAATCTTGTTGGTGAGTGCGCTGTGGACTGTTGTATTTATGCTTTTGAATTTTTTATTCTGCTTCAAATTATTTATAAATTTTTCAGTGCCTCTACTTATAGATGGGAAATACTTCAGAAGAATTTGATTAAAACAGAAAATGTATCTCTTAAAAAACTATCAGATACCAGATGGTCAGCAAGATCTGATGCAAGTATTAGTTTAAACAAAAATTGTATTGAAATAATGCACTGTCTTTTATCAAAGATGATAAAAAAGAAAAATCTATTACAAGATCAGAAGCTAACGGGCTATATTTAAAACTGGATAGTCTTGAAACAGCTGTAATGGCCACATTATGGGGCGATATACTAGAGAAATTCAACAAAACTAGCAAACAATTGCAGTCAGTTGAGATTGATTTAGAAACAGTTGTAAGTTTATACGAATCTTTAATTCGATATGTATTAGATTTAAGGAGTATGTTTGATATCTATGAAGAGAGAGCAATAAATAAGTCAGGACACAAAACATATTGAAAAATACGCAAAAGAAAAAGAAAACTAACTGCAGATGAAAAAAGAGAAGAAGAAACAAATTTTGAAATTCGAGACTCTTTAAGAATTAATACATATTATGCTATAATTGATAAACTTCATTCTGAACTAGAAAGAAGAAAATTGTGCTATGATGAAGCCAATAAAAAATTTAACTTTTTATTTCAAATAATAAAACTTTCGCCATCAGAAGTTTACAAAAAAGCAGAGGTACTTCAAAATGTATATAAAAATGATCTTTCGTCTTCATTTGCTAACGAGTGTATACAATTCAGAAGTTATTTAATGAGTTTAACTGAAAACTTAAGACCTAAAACTATAATAGATGATTATAAAATGATCAGAACTGAAAAACTTCAAGAGCTGTTTCCTTATGTAGATATAGCATTAAGAATATATCTATGCTGCCCAACGTCCAATTGTTCAGCCGAGAGATCATTTTTAGCATTAAAGAGGGTTAAATCTTGTTTGAGGTCGCGAATGACAAGTGATCGTCTTAATAGGTTAGCAATTCTATCTATAGAATCTGTACTTACCATAGATATGAACTTTAATGACATTATAAATACATTTGCAAAACAAAACTCACATAGAAAATTATAATTTTCTATAGTGATTAATATAACTTAATATATGTTGGTATAGAAAATGTTTTTTTTTTTAATGATCACCCCATATCAAAGTTGACATTATTCTTAAAAAAGGGCGCTTAAAGGAACAGTGCCCCAGGGCGCCAAAAATTCAAATACGTCTCTGAGTGTATACTTTTTATAATCTTTACTATTACTCTTAATCGCTGTTGTTATAACTATTATTTTTATTTACTCCTAATTGCATTATACTTATTATTAATATTACTTCAATAATAACAAAATTCTTACTGTTCAGTAAGAATCATAACATTTATAATGATAAAAATATAGTAATAATAATATTAACAATTATAGTGATGAAGAGAAAATACTTCAGTTTAAGAAATATTAAAATAATAAATAACTGGTTATTTACAGTGTTGTGTTTTAATAATTTTTTTTTGTTAAATTTAATAAGTTTAGCAAAAAATATTAAATCACAACAGAAAAGAAAAAAATTAGATAAATAGAAGCTCAGAATTATGGTTATAAATAATAAGTTGAATGAAAGTATGAAATTTATAAGCAATGTTTTTCTAAAAAGTAGTTAATAAGAACAGTTTTAAATTTTGAGAATGACTTACATTTATTACATGACAAATTCAGTATTAAAATTTTAACAAAGAAATCGCTTGAAATTAAAATTTACAAAGAAATGTGCACTTAATTAAAATGAAAGAATTTGTATTAAGTTTTCAACTCAAGGTAAGTACTTTGAAAAGTTCTAAACCATAGGTTTCTACAACTAAATATTCATCTCTCTGGATCTTCAACAAAAATTTCCGTAGGTCGCTCCTCCGGAACATTTATCGCCTGTAAATGTTTCGGCTGTAAAAATTTATCGACGGTAATTTTGAAAAAATTTTTATAACATTGATACAAATCATTTACGCCGATAAAATTTAGAGCCTGTAGCATTTTACTCCGATAAAAAGTTTTATAACATTGACCCCTGGAGGTTTTAACAAGTTCCTGGTCAAAATAACGTAATAAATCTATAGCTAATGGGAAAGCAAAAAAGATTCAAATAAGTAAGAAATAAACTAAAACTTTGGTATTTATATCTAATATTAGGTAAAAATATCAAAGCTATCGTGAAGTATTCAAAAACGATTCCTTTATCTTAATCATGATTATTATTGTGGATTTTTGGTATTTAAAGCAGTTGTTAAAAATCAATACAATCAACTTTTACAATTTTATAAAAAAAACAGCTTTTATAAAACTTTAAAATCGTATCTTAAAACTTCCTATATTCAAATTGCAAAGCCGCCTTTTTAGCTTAGTGTTGCTGGCCCTGGTAGAGGTTGTCTAAAACTTGATATTTATTCCTAATATAAAAATGATTACTTTACGAATGTCGCAATCTTTGTTGCGATTATTTTTTGATAGTTCGAACAGTTGTTAAAAACTTATGCGATCTACTTTTAAGAGAGTAATCCACTTCGATTAATGCTTAAAAAAGGTCACAAACTTTTTATTTTCAGCGCCATTTTGATTTGTTGCTGGAATAAATATACTGCTAGAACCAGCCAGTATAAACACGTCTTTTTAGCATCTAAAATGTTAACACTTTTTAGACGTCTAAACTTAGATAACTAACATCTAATAGTTGTCATCTTTGAGATGACGAATATGAGCTCATATCTGACGTCTCAAATATGAATATTATTAGATGTCTTATATTTATCTGAATTTAGACATCTAAAAGGTGTTAACATTTTAGATGCTAAAATGACGTCTAAAAGACGTGTTTGTGCCGGGTGGAGAGGACAAGATCTGAGACCATTATAAACAATAGACGCGTCTATTTAACACTAATCTAAAAGTAAAACCAAATACATTTTGCGCAGTGACGTTAGTTTGTGGCAAAACAAACTTTTTTACGACGAGTTTGTTCTTGTTTTTTGATTAATTTTAAGGGTGAGTCTATTCGCACGCATGTGTGAATAGACTATATCTTATTATAGTCTATTTGCACGTTTTTAAAAAAGATTTTTAATATAAAATCTCTCACAAACAAAAAATGTTTATAACTTAAGTCATATATTTTGAAAACAATTTAATTAATTATAATAAAAATGAATAAAATTACTTAAACATAATTAAATTTTTATTCAAAAAACAAACAAAAATGTGCCAAATGGTAAAATAAAAATTAAGAAATACTTCTTTTTTTAATTAAAAGATTGCCTGCCTAAGCCAAAACCCTTGTGATTGTATTTATACTACACTGTGCCTATCCCTAGATAAACAGACAATATGTATATACAATTCGGTGCGCATTCCTTCCTAAGTCAGCCAACGTAAGTACTGCGTTAGTACTCCACTGCGCTAGTTTAATTTTAATGTTAAAAACCAATAATAATAAATCTAATTTTTTAAAATTCCCTTTAAATTCGATAATTTTTACCTTTTTTTAATTAAAACTGCGAGTAGACTATAATTAAATATAGTCTATTCGCACGTGCGAATAGACACTCTGTAATTTTAATTATGGTGCAAAGAAAAATATAAAACTGATCTGTATCAGTTTTATTGTTTCTCAGGTTAGAATTTGTATTCATTACAATAGTATTAAATAAAAAGTTTTAAAAAATGACGTAGTAATTAATATATTTACTCTTGATTTGAATATATCCCATAAAATTATATATTTTAAATAGAGTAAATTTTCCTATTAACTTTAATGAAGCTAGTTAGTTTTTTGCCACAAAGAGAGTCATATACGCAAAAAATTTTGGCATCAACGATTTGTGAAAAAGTTGCGCCTATCATTTTACTAATAGTTTAGGATTAAGACTGTACCACACTTTTAAACAATTTTTGGCGTCGTTCTCCCTCCAGCTAGTTTATTATATCTCCAGGATATAACTGATAATAACAACTATTTTGTCCAGATAAGAAGAATGTAAACATAAACGGAAACAACAATTAAATGACTGATTGGTTTTTCCGTATATGTTTATTAACGTCATTTAGACTAATTAGGTTGCGACTTTTGTTTTGATATTAGAGATCATCCCCAGTGGACACAGGACGTTAAAAAGACGTCCTTTGAACGTCTTTTGAACGTTTTGGACGTCTTTTGAACGTTCAAAAGACGTCTTATTTAGGTCCTGTCCCCACTGGGTCAGTTAAAAGTTGACTTATTTTATTACGTTTTGAATACAACTAACGCCCAAACTACTCAATGATTTAGAGGAATAGTAGTTATAAGAAGCTTTTTTGATTTTCAGGAAACAAAAAACATTGAGTTATTGGTTAAAGTTTTTTCGGAAATTTGTACGAATCTTTCAAAAAAATATTCAAAAATTGTTTCTATCCAATTCTCAAATCAGTTCTTTTAAGTAATTTCTTTAGTAAAAAATGAATAGGCTCCTTCCAATGCCTATTTGACAACTTTCTGATTTAATTTTAAACAAATATGGTTGTTTAAAAAGTTAATTTTAGTTGTGTATGTTGTGTTAATGTTATTTTTTACGCTGTCGATAATAATTGCTTTAGTCAAAAAATCATTTACCAAATACAAAATAATAAAAGATTTTGAAATAAATCCTATTGGGCAAACAAGGCTACACGGTCTTGCATTTTTATCTATTGAGCATAGAGAAGCTACAAAAATGGATATTAAAGAACTCATTAATGATTTCGCGAAAGCAAAATCAAGAAAAAAATAACTAAAATTTTTTCTATACAACCATGTAACCATGTAAGTATAACTCAAAAAATTGAAAGAAAAGAAATTTTTTTGCATTTGTTTATATAATTTTGATTCAGTTCTATATATTTTTTGTCATCAGGAGTTATGGAAACCGTGCTACAGGAGCCCCTCTACCACGCTTGCCTAGAAAAGTTTTTGCCCAAAAGTTTTAGTTACGCCACTGCATCTTTAGTTTTTAAACAAAGTGACTTATGCCATTTTCAAAATAAATGGCTCATATTAAAAATATTAGAGTTCTTTAAAAATAATAGACTCCAATTACTCACATGCTTGACTTGAGCATATACTTACGCATCAATTCACCTATTTATCGAGAAATCAGGTTTGAATCCTCTGACCATTCTTTAAGATGCTCCCACGTGACACCTCTTTACTCAATCGTCTTTCTCTTTGTTTTTTATTTTTCTCCTTTTCCTTAAAACTACACTCTGCTGTAATTTTTGATCAAATTGACCATCTTTGAGCTAACTTTTAGACAATAAACTCCAAATATTTTTATGTTTATACCTTTGTCAAATAATGATACTTTGCAAAAAATTACGATGGTTGTGGCTTGAGAACAAAAAAATCCTAGAATTACTCTTATGCCCCAAACGTGAGAGTAACAAGTGGATAAAATAATTTCAATTATAAATTAAGGGGGTTGCAAGTTTTATATGGTTGTAATTTTGAACGATAAGAGTATTGGTCGAAGTTTTGAACGATATTTATATATATTTATATGGTCGTAGTTTTGAACGATATATATATATATATATATATATATATATATATATATATATATATATATATATATATATATATATATATATATATATATATATATATATATATATATATATATATATTTATTTATTTATCTATTTATATGGTCGTATATATATATATATATATATATATATACCTTTTTATATGACATATATATATATATATATATATATATATATATATATATATATATATATATATATATATATATATATATATATATGGTCGTATATATATATATATATATATATATATATACATTTTTATATGATAGCTTGATAGTTATATGAAAGCTGGTAAATAAAAGAATGCGAAATAGCGTTTTTGAACTTGTCAAGTTAATGTGTCAATAATCGCTTAAAAGAACGTCTTAAATGATGATTAATGTTTATTTAAATATATATTTCCCATAACGAACATCATATATATGATAATATCATTATAACAAATTTTCAGCATCTAATATCGGCAATGATTTTTGGATACTTTGAAACACTCTGTTCCACTGTGAGAAACCCAATAGCTTCTAGATTTTATTAAAGGCATTACATTACGTAGTTAATTCATATTAAGTTACAATTGAAGAAGTAGTTGTTAGATGTTACCCCTTTTCAAGTTTAAAAATAACGTTCTAGACATAGTTTAGTATATGCTAACATCTATGCTATTTAATGGAAACTTTATTTAATTATGTTATGCTAAATATGAGTCAAAAAAAATTATTTCAACTTATTAAAACTTTTTTACGAGTTTACGGACGTAATTTTCATTATCATTAATTACGGACATTATTATTAATTATCATTAATTAGCTTTAGCAGTTAAGAAGATTAAGCAGTCTAATTATTTTATAATTTTTTTAAACTATCGCATAACGAAGTATATTAAATTTTTAAGAGCAGTCTAAACTATTAAATTATTAAATTTGTCGCATTACGAAATATATTAAATATTTAAGACCAGTCTTATTAAATTATTAAATTGTCGCATTACGAAATCGTAGGAATGTTAGAACACTTACTTTAAAGAACTTTATGATATATACTCGTTAGTTTAAACACTTCTAACGCAGGTTTTATTAGTGAATAACTTTTTATTTCTTAGTATGCACAGGTGCGACGCATTTTTATTATTTTTTTAAAAAAGCTACTTTTACTCTTTTAACATGGCAAATCTGAAGAGACTTATTTTTATAGTTGTTGTATGTAGTTTAGTATTATTTGGCGTTCTTATAATTTCTACTAAAGGTAAGCAAAGATATATTTTAGAATTCAATTTGTAGATATTTTTCTA